TTTTGTTTGATTGATTGTTTTGGTTTTGGGGGGGTTATTATTTGTTTTGGGTTTTTTGGTTTTTTTGAGACAGGATTTCCCTATTTAGCTTTGGCTGTCCTAGAACTAATTTTGTAGACCAGGCCTGGAACTCAGAGATCTACCTGCCTGTGCCTCCTGAGTGCTAGTATTAAAGGCATGCACCAACACTGCCAAGGTTGTTTTTCTTTTAAAAGGCAATAATCCGATTCTATTCTTCATGTAGGTGCTGAACACAAAGATGAGAACATGAAATATTTTAATTCCTCCTAAGCTCTAGAACAATCCTAGAGAGACTAAGGATTTGGCAAAATACCTGTGACATCTCAAAATGGAACTGTAACATTTAGACCTCAACAATTCCTGAAAATTTTCCGGTTCCTAAAATGCTTAAAAGATGATCATATTGGCTGTGACCTCTACAAGTCACAAACACACAGTAGCAACCTACATTGCAGCGACACTCTTTCCTGTGACGGACTTTAAAAATTATCACTTAGTTTGACTATAATTCACATGTTACTTTTCGATGAAAGAAGACTCAAATTTGTTTATTTCTCTTTCAAACTTTAACATGAAGAAGACTACCACCTAGGTCCTCCTTGAGAGTTAATGCGCTATTCTTTTTCATCCATATTAATTTGTCTTGCTTTCTTAGCTTCTGCTAGCCATGTATCTGCAGACTGAAACTTGGTAGAACGCAGCTGTACTGAGCCCAAAGCTATTTGACAGAGTACTTGTCCCCAAACTGTCTTGTTTTGGTTTATGGTAGAACGCAGCTGTACTGAGCCCAAAGCTATTTGACAGAGTACTTGTCCCCAAACTGTCCTGTTTTGGTTTCTTGTGTTGCATTTTTTATTTAGCATTCCCTTAAGAAATACCTAGGAACACAGTACCCTTAGTCCTGAGGAAACACAGTACCAATAAACATATACTAATAAGATAGAGCCCCTTCTGACAGATCTGCTCTCAGGGAGGAAAACAGGCCTACCAGCAAGTGATTCTAACCTGCAATGAAACATGCCAGCAGATCTGTGCACAGTGTGGCAAAGGAGACTAGGGAACAGGAAGACATTTCCCTATCTTGGAGCAGGGTTGATAATGTGATTAGGCTTCAAAAGATCCAGGTGATTTTCAATAATAAGCAAATATGCACAAGTAAGGAAGAGATCTTGATGGTGCATGCCCACAAACCCAGGAGACAGAGGCAAGAAAAATTCCAGCCCAGCCTGGGTTACATGGCTGAGTACTTGTACAACAAAAAAGAAAGAGAGGAAGGAAAAAAGAAGGAAGCAGAGAGAGAAGCAGAGATTAGAAAGAAAGGCTTCCAGGAGAAAATATGAAACATATATGTGTGTATGCATAGGTATAATATGAATGTCTCAAACCTATAATAAAAATAATCTCAATCAGCTGTACAGAACACAGTAATGAGGTATACCAGTTGGCTTGGTATGCCTCATACCTCTACCCTTTTGGTGAATTGTCATTTGAGCTTTGCTTTTCCATGCTTGGATGATTGTCTTCATGCAGACTAAACATACAGAGAGAAATCCCCATATGAGTTCTAGATGGAAAGAAATATTAGCAAAACTTGCCAGCATCCTTGTTCTTCATCCAATGTGAGACTTCTGAGCTATTCTTGTGAAAAAATGATCACAGAACAGTACTCGATCTGCCTGTCTTCTAATTGATACTCCTCCCAATGACTGCAAGGGCATTGCCAGTAACTTGCTATAGTTGCCAAAGGGGATTTGTCATGTGTGTACAATCAGATACTTAGAACTTCACCACCGAAGTGTTACACACCTTTGTGTTTGTTACTGTCACAAGCAGTGACTCACACTTCTGCAGTTCCCCTGCACTGATAACTCAAGTCTCCTGTAGCTAGACATATCATTCTCGGCATCTAGAAGCAAGAGCCCTGGGGGTGCAGGACCTATAAACTGCACGGTGCCACAGGATAGGAAGGCTTCACAGTGGGTCTAATCTCCTGCCGTTGTCGTCATGAAAGGCCTACTCATTTTTTAACAAAGAAACTGCATTTTATTTTTACAAGTTATGCATCTGATTCTGTCCAGAAAACAACCTCACTTCAAGGTGAATTTCATAAAGCCTTGTCCATACTCCTGGCATGGGAGCCATCACAAAATGTTTCTGAGACCAGTTGCGTTACAGTGATTACTTTAGCCATCATTCACTTTGCAGGGTGACTGTCACAAGCCTGGGAGTGTAAGCAGCCCCTAAATTCTTTTGACATTTTATTACACGTAACTGATTTGACCAACTGTTCTGCTTTGACCTTGACTATACTTTATCATCTCATTAGCAACTGTGTAGATAGGTCTTCCCCCTTTAAAGTTCCTTCAAGTTTATAAACACCTGCCTCCCCCAAACACTGATTCAAAACTTTCCCATGGCATGGACTTAGGTCAAATTTAACATTTTCTTGAGCACAATTTGATTAACGATATGCAGGGTTTTGATATATGCTAAGCCCTATGATTTCCATTATTAAAAATTCCTACCACACCCTGGACCTGAGCTGGTCAGTGTCTCTTACTTGAGCTGCAAAAACAGCAGCTGACCATCCATCCACAAGGGAGGGAAACTATTTTCTTAGTCTTGACAGTCTGAAAGAGCTCTCCTTAAGGTGAGTGACAAGGGGGAAATCTATAAAGTCTGCATTCATCTCTGGACAGCCCATCACCCCTCAAGCCATTTCTTCCATTGTAATTATCACTTTCTACCTATCCACACTGGATCCTGACATAGAACTGTCACCGGTTCTGATATACTGATTGCTCACTGGCTCTCCAGAGGCCTGAGATCAAAAGTGAGTTCATCACACACGGTTAGCAGATATTGAGGCATTCTCTTGAGGGCCAGGATTGCAGTTCAGTTGGTAGAGTACCTACCTAGCATGCACAAAGTCCCAGGTTCGATCCTCAGCATCACACAAACTGGGCATGGTGGTATACCATGAGAATGAGAAGCCCAGCATTTGGGAGGTAGAAACAAGAGGCCAGAAGCTTAATGTCCCTCTTGGCTGAATTTAAGCTGGCCTAAGTCATATGAAAACCTCTCTCCAAAAAGAAAATGACTTGGGAATGTGGCTTCATGATAGAGCGCTTGCCTTGACCCTGCCAGATTCAATCCTCAACACCAAAAAGAAAGGAAGAAAATCTCTTCAGTATTGCATGGGCCTGTGTGTTGGTAAAGGGTGACAAGAGACACATCATTGTGATCTACTGTGGCTAACAGAAGTGGCACATGTCTCATTTCTCTCTTTCTCCTCCTGAATTCATGTCTAGAGACTGTGTTTCAAACATGATCTTTATTTAATTGCTCAGTTCCCAGGGAATATTAACTTAATAGTTTCACCCAGATTCACATTCATTTCAAACTAAGAGCATAATCCAGCCACAACGATACAGCGCATGACAAAAACCGCGGACAGAACCAACTGTAGCCAGGCTGTGGATACATGGGAGCATGGCTACATGAGCCCTTGTCTCACTCAGCATCTCCGGTGGGACAGACTTTCTCACAGCAGCCATTGCTCTGCCTGGCCTCAGCCTACACCACATTTCTTCAGTCTGTGCATCCACAGCACTCAGATAGTAAACATCACAGTTTCTTCAAAAGTAAACTTCACAGGCCACCCCTAGCCACCTGGGCAATTCTGATCTGCAGTTATGCCAGATCCCTGCCCTCTGTGTTCGTGCAGTTTGGAAAACAAACACTGGAAGTTTAATTCCTTATTTTCAGTTTGCCTCTCCACATTACCACTTTAATAAATTCTACAGTTCTTCCTAATTCCTTGGTGGGAATCAAAGATCGGGGTCACCTTGGAAACACTGCAGATGCATCATTGCTGTTCTGTGCGTCTAATAGAGCCTGCAGGCCACGACCTCACCCAGCAGCCTGGAACTTCCTCTGTACAGACTAACATAATCTTCTCCTCTTTCCTTCTAAATGTTTTCAGTATTTGATAGTTACACATTTCATCCACTTATTTAACAAATATTTATCAAGCAGTCACTGTGGGTAGATACTGAAGGGCACAGATTCGCTCCAGTCCCTGTACCCAGGGGTTCAGTGTGAATGTAACCTTTCATTGGCTCTGAGATTCCTGAAACTCAAGCACCCAGCCTGTGCCTCTGCCTGGTTCCAAACTCCTTTTTGTTGACTAAATGCACTGGCTGGACTTCATTCTTTAAATGGAGATTTCTAATTAGCAAATACATTCCAAAGTCAAAGGGCTAAGCCAGGCATGTCACCAGCCAGGCAGAAGTCACAAACAGAATTCCCATAGGTAAACAGCTCTGAGGAATATTCCCACCCCCCTACCACCCCCACCACCACCCCTGATGGACATGCTGCCAGGCTGGGAAATAAGAAAGGATTGCTTTCATACCCGCTGCCTCAGAAATGGTCACAGCTCTGCTGCAGTTTGTCATGGCACAGGTCTGCTTGCACCAGGGGCTGACAAGAGCTTGTTAACACCAAAAATGTTTCTCCCCTTCTCCAGGCTCTGGCAGCTAAATGTCACTGATATGACTATCTCAGCCTCTAGTGGGGACAACACCCATCTCACTTTCCTAGAACGCAGCTAGGTACAAATCTCCAGGAGCAACAATTCACCTTTTCAAATTGCAGAGTCCAGGAGTGGCGGAGTGGAGAGAATGCAGCGGCTACAAAACAAGGAAAATACAGACAGAAATCTGTGCAAACACAGGAGGGGAGAGCTGTTGGTGTTAGCTGAGACTTTCCCCTTAGCAGAGGCCATTAGTGCTCTGCAAACTTCAAGGCTCTGCAGAGCATCTAAATACAAGACCCAAAAATGTAATTCTATCTAGTGCAATCCAAGTCTGTGAATTTACTGGAGGAGAATGAAATCAACTGCTTAAAAATCTTTTGCTCAACAAGAAATGCATGTCACTGTGGCTGAAAAGAGCAGATTCTGATGCTGTAGGAAATTTGTTTTTAAATGGTTATTTTATTCAGAATCACTGTTTTTTAATGACACTACCTTAATTTTCTGATAAGCCTTTTTCATCTATAGTCGCCCAACATTAATATTTATTTTGTTCATTTAATTTTAAAGTATGCTTAAATTAGAGCTCTTACAAAGATTCCCCTGCTGCTGAAGGCACTCCCATAAAAAAATACCATGGAAATCTTGATCAGTGTTATAGTGGCATTCTAGCTCAATAACAAGACATGGGAAACAGTTTCAGTAGATTGGGAAATAACCATTCTAATTCACCTCTTTTTTTAATAAAAATGTGCTCTTCATCTTGGGTTTCACGTTGTAATGACTATTAAACTCAAGAATCGCCTCCTGTTAAAACATTTCCTATGTACATATTATCTTTCTTTTAAAATAATGTCTTCAGCATTCAACCCACATTTGTTGGCCTTCCAGTCTCAAAATAAATTACTGTAAAATAAAGCTGCAAGGATACTGGACTTGTACCATATTTAATATAATATACAATATACAACTATACTGCCTGTTTTTTCTACTTGGGTTTCATAATTTCTTATCGTAACACAACACCATACAGAATACTTCAGGACAATATGAGTTCAGGGTGTAGGAGTATAACCACTGCTGGGAAATTCAATGGTTTTCTCTCTGGAAAATACAAAATCTCAAAATCCTACACACTAATCCATTTTTATTTCCTCTTCCTCAGAATCCTTTCGATATCTAAAAGTTCTTAGCTAAAATCTTACGCTGTCTGCAGCATGTACTTGGTTTTGCAAATTTGCCTTTAGGAAATGAAGGGACATCGTATCTCCAGGACACCCCAAGTCCCGAGCAAACTATTTCAAATTCCTGTCTTTAGTATTATTAATTTGGATGGGACGTGAGGAGGAAAGAAAACCTCCAGTCCTCAGTTAAAACTTTGCTTTAATATGCCTCCAGATACTGTGTCAAGGACAAACACACTCAGATATATCTGTCATTCCACTAACTACAGAAGTTGCTGCCACCACCACCAATGGTATTCACTCCATCTTGAAACTTGTATTCTAGTCATCAGAACTTTAATATATATATATGTATATGTATATATATATATATTCTTTTTTCTGAACCAACTTCAGAACAAAAACACCAGTGTCTGCTTCAAGGTACCCTGTCTCAGCTCACAATACAGAAGTAATCAAAACCGAATGCCTTCAACTCTCAAGGGCTTGTTTCTTCCTTTATCTACTGAAAGCTGGCCAGGGAGTAGTGTGTGCTTTCTTTCTCTGACCTGCTTGGTTTTCCCTGTAGAAGACTGGTTTCACTCCTGGGCACCCGGCAAGCCGCGGTTTACATGTGACCAAATAACTCCCAGTTATTATGAAGGCAGAGGCTTCTCCCAGCTTAGCTGTCCCCCAAGTAAATAGCTGGAAATGCAGGGAGAGGAGGGGAGCAGAGGCCACTTGAAGTTACAAAGACAAGTAACGCTGGGAAGTCCAGAGCAATGGAGGCAAATATTAAAAAAGAATATTATTTATTATTATCTTCTTTATTAATACTCACATGTAACCTTTGCTGTTTGCACAAAAGTCTACTTTTGAAGAATGCCTCCATGGTTTACCAGCCTGGTGGGGGCTTCCTGCTCTGGGACCACTTCCCCCTTCTCCACCCACCCCACCCCACATCAAAATTAATCTTACACATTCACAGATACCACAAAAAAATTGTAAACAAGATTTGGGTTACTGGAACTTGGTTTATCAACAATCCTCTTCAATACGGAAGAGAGAAGGGAAAGAGGAAGAGAAGGGAAAAGGGAGAAGAGGCGGGGGACACGGCAATTTGTCAGTACTCTCATGTCTTGCCTTTTTCTGAGGTGTGTGTGTGTGTGTGTGTGTGTGTGTGTGTACACGCACGCATGTGCACGCGTGTTGAGGCTGTTCTTTGAAATTCACTGACTCAAAACGTTGACAGCGAGTGCCCGTGTGGTTATTTATATTATATATCTATAATAGAATATGTGGGTTTCCTCAGCTTGGGTCTGGGCTGCGTTTGTTTAAACACAACACCATCCTCTTTGTGGGTGTCTCCAGTGGGCATCAGATCTCTTGGGAACCCCTCTCAAAGCCGGGGCTTCCGAAGTAGGGTCTTGCTGAGGTCTTTCACCTCCTCGGGGCTATTGACCCGCTCATAGCCCAGCACTGCCATGGGTTGGTAGCAAAACTCCTCCACCTGTTTGATCTGCTGGAAGGTGAGCGCCGTCCGCCAGGCATTGGCGGCCTGAGTGGCGTTGCGAGCGGATACCACAAAAGGCTTGGAGGAGGAACCTGAACCACTGGTCATGTTCAGGGCAAACTGCTCCATTTCGGGACTCACCAGCAGCCCCACAAAGTCATACACCCTCCGTAGGGTCTTAACCGGGTCTCCCACAAGATCCTCGTACCTCACCACTAAGTAGTGTCCCTGCAGCCAGTCAGGGGGCTGCAGGGCTGTCTGCAGCGTTTTGGCCATACTGTTGCAGATGACCTCCATTGCGCCCAGAGCATGGTAGTCTGCTGGCCCACCTATACCCTCTTTCTTGGCACCCAGCTTGTGGCCAGCAGCCTCCAGGAAGGGCATGCGGTGGGCTCTGGGATCCCGGCTTCGCACTACCTGTAGGCTTTCCCGGATGAGGCCATGGCGTGAGCGGATACGGGAGCTGGCAACCGCACGAGGATCACGCACCAGGTGGATGACCTTGAGGTCCAGGGCTGGATCTCGAAGCAGTGGCGCCAACACAGCCACATCGAAGACGCGCACGCCCTTGATAACCAGCGTGCGATACTTGCGGCACTCCTCCTCGAAGCGTGCCAGGCGTTGAGGTGGGCACTTCTTGCACACGCGGTCGTCCACCAGCCCGACGACCTCCTTGCGGTAGGCGGGACAGAGTGGCGAGGAGCACACCACCTTGTTGGTGGCTGCCCCAAAGATGCCCAGAGTGGTGAGGTTGCGCCCCCCACTGCCGGCCGGGCTATACAGCTGGAAAACCGAAAGATCGCAGCGGTAGAGAGCGCTCAGCATGTCCCGCGCTGCCCCCTGCAGGGAAACCGCGTCCCCGGGGTACAGTTTTTGCCACACGTGCCACACAGGCTCGTACAGAAAGAACACTTCAGGGTTCTGGTTGAAGAGCTCGCCGAAGAAGGACGAACCGGAGCGCCACGTGGTGAACACATACACCAACTGCCGCTTGTCCCCTCCACCCCTGGTGCCTCGAGTGCCATTGCCTGAAGAGGCCGCAGCTCCTCCAGCCCCCGCCGCGGCTGCGGATACTGCCCCCACGCCGGCTGAGGGAGGGCGGTATGGGGCACGGGGGTCCAGGCGCGGATGAGCGCGGGGCGGCGCTGCAGGAGGCGACCCCGGCCTTCCCCAGCCACCCCCAGTCGCCCCCGCCGCGGCACCCAGAGGCCCGTCGGGGTTGCACTGCTGCAGCGGCTCCTTATGCCACTTGTAGTCCAGGAGGTTGAGCATCGTGAGCACCAGCAGCAGTGCATAGCCCGCACACAGCACCAGCGCCTTCCTGCGAAACACCTTCATCCCGAGCGGGGACGCAGGCCAGCGGCGTCCTGAGCGCCGGGGCCACGGCGGGAGCAGGGCCCGCTGCACGGCGGCAGGCGCGGCCGGCAGCGGCCGGGAAAGCGCGCCCGGGGGCAGAGCTCGCGGCGAACTGCGGCTCATCACAGGCACAGCCGGGGCCGGCGGCGCGGCGGAGGCGGCCCTGCAGCCCGGGAGGGGGACGCTGCAGGCCGGCTGCGGGCGCCGGGACTGGGGCCGCCGATCCGAGGCGGGCGCGGCGGCAGAGGCGGCTGGTCCCCGGCGCCCAGGGCTGGCTCTCCCATGGCAGCGGCTCCGAGAAGAACCTGCGAGGGGAAGCGGAGTGAATGGGTGAGCCCAGTCTCCCGCCCAGATGCCTCCTCCGCCTGAGTACCGCCCACCCTCTGGTCTGCGGGCTCCCCCACTCACCTGGAGCGGCGGGTGCGCCCCAGAGCGTCCCCGGATATCGGACCGGCGGACTGTCCAGCTAGCCCTGTCCTCGGTTTCTGTCCGGTTCTCTTCTGCCGGGGGTCCCCAAGCCTTCAAGGGAGCCGAGGGACTCCGCTGTCCTAGCCCTAGGCAGAGTTTCCCGGCAGCGGGCGCCCTGCAGCTCGGGAGGGGAAACTTTCACCGGGCCCAGAACCCGGCTGTGCGCTCCAGCGAGCGCGGCGCGTCCCGGCTGCAGCGACGTCTCCTCGAGTCTCTCGGGACCGCAGCTTTCCTCCCGGTTCCGGGGCACGAAGCAGGCTGGAGGCGACGGTGCGGGATGGCTTAGATACGTCCCAGCTCCAGGCTGATCGGCTCTCCATCGCTCGCTCTCGGCCTCCACGCAGCGTACCTTCCCATCCCTCCGGCGGCGTTGGCGGTCAGGGTACAGCGCGGCCCCGCAACGGCGGCCGCTTCTTCCATCACCCGGAGGATGTCCGGGCAGGCGGTTCAGGCGAGACCCGGAGCTCCGTAGCCGCGGGCTGGCCCAGAAGGACCCTGGACACGTAGCTGGAGGCAAAAGAGCGGGACCCTCCCCCGGCACCGGCTGCTTCTGCCCAACGAGGTCCCGAGGCAGAGGAAGCCCCCGCCGCGGCCGCACTAAAGCGGCGCCCGGGAGGATGCTGCTACCCGACTCCCCCTACGCCGGGCGCCTGCAACGCGCTCGGGCCGGCCTCTGCGCGACTCCTGCCAGCCCGCTCGGGGTTGGTGCGCGCCGCCGTCTGTCGCCCCGGCTCCTCCCCCTTCGCCACACTACCCTCCTCCTCTGCCTGTCCCACACCCTCCCTCCTATCAGCTCCCGACTCCCGCCGCCTCCTCCTTAGGGGCTGGAGACGCGACCCGGTTCAAGGTGGCGCCGCTCCGGCAGCCATCCGCGAGTCACAAACCAGAGCTCTAGGTCCGGCGAGAGCGCGGCGCGGGTGCCTGATTCGCAGCTCTCCTGGACAGCCGGAGACTTAGGTTCTTAGAGGCTGCGAGACTCAGTCTTCGCTTTCGAGAAGAGTTGGTGATAAAAGTTTGGGCAGAAATCCCCCGTTCGTCCCCAGTGGTCAGCACTGGTGTCCTCTCCTAGTGCGGGAGCAGCGCCGCCAGGCAGCGCTGGGTATAATCGAAACACAATTCTGAGGCTTCGACCCTGGTGCTCGCCCTCTCCAGCTGGCTTGTGGTTTCTCCCTCAAGGAGGAAGTAGTAAATCTTTCTGGCCTTTTGGCACCCTATCCGAGTGTCCTGGACTTGGACAAGGCCACTAGGTTTCAATGACCCACCTCCACTCCCACCTCCCCCCGGCAGATGCTCTAGGCTTGCGCTCCTAGTGGAGCTTCCACCTCTGCTAACATCCTCTGAGACAGGGCTGCTGGGGGATGGGGTGGACGCTTTGTTTTAATTTCTAGTAAAATACTTGTCCGGTTTCTTGACTTTAGAGAGGAAGAGACGAGATCAAAGAACTTGATCGCAAAGGAAAACGTTCTTGGTCGTTGAAAGTTACTGTTTTAGATGGATCTGTGTTGGCTTATATACTTTTTTTAACCGGTGAGGGAGATACCGAGAGTAGACCATGGCCTCAACTGTAAAATGGAACGTAACCCTAGGTGATGGCAGGATACGTGAAGGTTAGAGGGCAACGTAGGAAAAACTGTACTCCAGTTTCCACCGACGAGGGCGGAAAGGTGAGTCACTGGCCCTGAGGTTCAGATCTGTGGTCAACTGCGGATCACTGGCAGGCTGATTGCCCCGTCCCTCTGAAGCCGGTTCAAGTAAAACACAACTGCTGCAAAATTATCTTTCTCTAACTGGAGCAGCCTCCCTCGGCCTGGAGACCCTTTTAAATTTAAAGTGTTGCCATTGATGACATGTTTCTTCGGGGAATCATATTGAATATCGGACTACAAGGACTCTTTGGGGGGATTGAACAATTGTTCTGTGGCTTTAACTAGTCTTGTTTTGGTTAGGTTTCGTTTTGTGTTGGTTTTTTGTTTTATTTCGTTTGTTGTTTTGTTTTGTATGGGTTTAGTTCCAAGGTTTTAAAATTAAAAATAGCATGACATAGGACCAGCGAAATGATTCTGTGGGTAAAAGGCACTTGAGCCCCCTGAGATCTGAATTGAAAACCCTGGAATCCACATGATGGAGAGAATAGATTCCTACGAGTTGTCCTTTGAGATCCATATGTGCTCCCTGACACATCATGCCCCCCCATCCCTACATACAGAGACAAATAAGTAACACAAAACATGTTAATGATTTGACTTGGTCCTGTTTTCAAAAAAAATTCATAATGCCACAGTAAGTTTCAGCTGAAGTATCCCTCTTATGGTTCTAATAAAGTATATGGATAAGGCATTTCTAGAACAGACTTTACACAAATTGGGATGGAAGAATAATGCTCTACTTCTAAAACACTTTCATGCTGTGGGAGGTTCGATGCCACAGCACTGGTGTGGAGCTCTGTGTCATGTGGGTGCTGGCCGTGGGAATCTGGGTTCTTGGCATAGCAGCAAGAACAGGCTGGGCCGTCTCTCAGGCCCGTCAAATCTCGTGTGTGACTTTACAGAGGCAGCATTTCATTTTCCCTGGGTAGAAATGAAGCCTGGCCAGGTGGTGATGGCACACACATTTAAACCCAGCACTCAGGAGGCAGAGGCAGGTGAAATCTCTGAGTTCAAGGCCAGCCTGCTCTACAGCCAGGGTTTTAAAAAAAGTGATGAAGTCTATCGATGTTGCCAATAGATGCTAAAGGTGTTGCCTTCCATCCTTGTGTCCACATCCTTCTCCCTTCCAGCGTTGCTTCAAGCACACCTCCCCCTTCTTGCCTCTACTCTTCCCCCACCAAACCTAAAGCTGTTTTTTGAATGGAAAAAAACTGATGGAGGAAATAGGCACAGTGAAAAGAGAATAACACACCTATGGTCTCCATCATCATTCCAAGAGAAGTACCTTCTAAGAGTTTGAGACTAATATCTGGGTTTGTACTTACCCAGAAAGCACTCAATTGCAGTTATTTGAGGTAAGGGCCCTTTTAAAAAACAATTGTTTGCATAGAAACAATTTTGATGCAATTGTATAACGCTTTCCTGGAGTTGGCAAAACAGTGACTCCATTTTTCAGCCGCCTCCACAGTGATGTTCCGTTGTGATGCTCAGCTGGCATAAATTCACAGGTTCTGGCATCTCCACCCTCTCCCTGCTTGCAAATATTTTACTATTTGCACAGTGCCAAGATTAATTCCAAACTTTGTGACAGTTAATGATCTCCAAAAAACTAGACGATGCCTTTCCACCTGAATTTTTCTCCTTTGGGTCTAGTAATCACACACACTCACACACGTTAATAAATCATATAACAATTTCACTTGCAGAGGATCCCATAAGGCCCCTGGGCTGTCACCAGTCTCAAAACACTGTTTATATTATTATAATTTGATCTCTTCCAGAATGCCCTTTGAGCGGTCCTGGCTGCAGCCCCCTTGCATGGGAAACTGTTCCTGGAAGGTGCTATGACTTTGTCCTGCTTGGGACAAAGATGGATTCTAATACTCTGTGGTGTGGAAGGCCAGACCCAGCCTGGGGGAAAGTGGCAGAGATCACACATTTTCTGTAGACTCTGGACTGGGGAAAACTGTGACTGGGCTCACAGCTGGTTCCCATCCAGGTCTCTGTGTGAACCCAGGGCCCAGATCAGTCTTTCGGCAGTGCTCTTCCTGAGTACTAAAACTCATCCATCCTTTGCATTTTCAACAAACACAAGTTTCCTGAAATCTTTGGTTTAAGACATACTGTCCTCATTAGTCCAAGTGACTCCCTCCTCGTACGTGTTCTAGTATAATATAATTATTTGACTATCTACCCAAAGGTAATCATTCCTACTAAATTTAGATGAAATGGTCACATTCCCAAAGAGCATTTTAAAGAATGTTTTCCTTTACAATCTCAAGAGGAAATGGCTTGAATAATCTTGAGATTATTAAGGAACTGGCATAGTCACTTAAAATGTCCCCGTGAGAAAAACAACTGGCTGGGGAGGAGGGGGGATTTAAAGAAGGTTCTTCCACACTTTGAAGGCCAAGGTAGCTTCTATCTTGTACAAACAGTTGCACACGATAGTAACCGAGTAAACACTCCCCCGGCTCACGGCTCACCCTAGGGGATATTATCTGGAAGGAGACAGGGGTGGGAGGAGGGAGAATACGAATGAGTATGAATACATCATGGGTATAAACATATGGGTAAAGTGAATCTAATCAAATTGAGAGGAAGGACCCTGCTCTGTAACCAAGTTGTTACCCAGGAGCACAGTGTCCACTTAATGAATATTAGCACCCGCAGAATAGCAGGTGCTGGTCAAGCTATATGGGATGCAAGCGTGGCATAGACAAGTCTGCTCCCCACACTTGTGGGCTAGGAGACATTTAGTGCACACGCATTTAAATAAGTAAAGTTGCTCCAAAGGCAAGTATTGTGATAATACCTGGGAGCAGCTACTTAGATTGGGGAAATGACCTTTGCAAAGGAGGAATGATCCTCAAAAAGAATGAGCATACCACATGGGAAACAGAGGGCGTGAGAAATGCATGCTATCGATACCACAAGTAAAAACCCTGAGTGGGAATGAGGCGGTATCTTTTAAAAGCAACAAGAGTGGGTATGGAGATAGGATTCAGTGGTTAAGAGCACTGGCTGTTCTTCCAGAGGACCTGGGTTCAAGTCCCAGAACCCACATGGCAGCTCACAACCAGCTACAACTCTAGTCCCCTGGTATCTGATGACCTCTTCTGACCTCTGTGGATACTACACACACACACACACAGACATACAGGCAAAGCAGCAATGCACATAAATAAAAATAAATACTTCTTCAAATAAATAAATAAAGCAACAAGTACTCCAGCTGGATCAGAATCCAGTGAAAAGGCCATGGAGTCTCCTAACTGGAGTTTGCCTGGCTTGCAATACAGAAACCATTTCCTTAACCTTAAACTTTAAAATGCAGCCTGACAAGAAGCCTTAAAAGGATAGCCCAGAGACCTAGAGTAGAACCAAACATGACTGGCAAGAAAAGAAGAAGGGGGAGGAGGAGGAGGAGGAAAAGAAAGAAAGAAAGGAAAGAAAGAAAGAAAGAAAGAAAGAAAGAAAGAAAGAAAGAAAGAAAGAAAGAAAGAAAGAAAGAAAGAAAGAAAAAAGAAAGTTCCATCTCCTGTAATCATGCATGACTTCCAGTGAAGGGATTGGGACACCAACCCAACCACAAAACATTTGACCTACAATTGTCCTGCCTGCCTACAAGATGCACTTGGGGATAAATGGTGCAGAAATTGTGGGAGTGACCAACCAATGACTGGGAGCTCACTAATGAGGGCCAGGACCCAGAGGATAGACCAGAAACCTAAAATAGAACCAAACCCGACTGACAAAAAAGAAAGCAAAGTCAATGAAATTATTTTTAATGATATTCTGCTGTACTCATAGATTGATACCTATTGTCATCAGAGAGGCTTCCTCTAGCTGATGGAAACCACAGTCAAACATAGGTGAAGCTCGGGGAATCTTGTGGAAGATGGGAAGGATTGAAGGAGCCAGAAGGGTCAAGGACTTCACAAGTAAATGGTCCAAAGCATCAACTAAACGGGGTTTATTGAGACTCACAGAGACTGAACCAATAATCAGGGAGCCTGCATGGTACTGACCTAGGCACTCTGC